TTTTGTTCATTCTTCTAATGTCTGTCTCCATTTCTCGGTGCAATGTGTTCTTTGGACTCCTCTTCCTGATTTCTTCCTCCTTTGGGATCTGGTTTGTTCTGTCCCACAATAGGTTGTTGCTGATAATGTATGGCCAACAGACCCGAATTATTTCGCGTAGACAACTATTAATAAACACTTGTATCTTCTGGACGATGGTTTTCATAGTTCTCCAAGTTTCCGCCCCATACAATAAAATTGTCTTGACAGTTGTATTGACATTTATTTTGAGTTCCAGATGTTATTCAATTGTAAATATGCTGCTCTTGCTTTACCGATGCGCTTCTTCACATCTGCATCTGATCTGTCGTATTCATCAATGATGTTGCCCAGATATGTAGAGATTTTTACATTTTTCAAAGCTTCTCAGTCAAGTGTAATTCAATTGTGGTGCATGTTGTATTGTATCGGGGAAATGTATCAAATTCATAATTTGTAAAATGAATACAGTGATTGTTTAATTCAAATGTTCCTTTACTTTTTTTAAAAATTTTTCTATTCATTCCTTATTTGAAATTCAATTATTATTGTTGTTCAATGTTCATTTTTATAAAAATCAATAATGTTAATTAATCATTCAGAAAAAACAAACAAAAAAGTTTTTTTTTCATTGAAACTATCATCACAACTATACGATTCTGTAAATTAGAAGGAAAAATTATATTGAATTAAATGAACCAGAAACATTTTCTTCGAGTATTATTATCCCATGCATCGAAAAAATCTTTGTTTTCACATATGAGAATCATTTTTTTTTAGAAAAAAAAACGGTGTGGAGATTTTAGTAATTTCAATAGTTGAAATCATGAGTCAATTGAAGTTAGACATTAACACTGTTGTATGCCGGTTTAGTGGTGTAATGGTTAAGTACTCGTGCGCTAGACTGATGGCTCCTGGATTCGAATCTTGCGGGGGGCGAGCTTTTGGATGTGTATTGTTGGGGAGTCCCACACTAGAACGAAACGGTCGTTTCCTATTGTGATCTAGCTTCAATTGACTCATGATTTAAACTATTGAAATTGCTAAAATCTCCACGAAACCCCTTCAGATATATTCTTATCGATTACTGATTAGCTTAAAATATTACTGAACCAAAGGTTACATTTTAGTTGCCCGTGGATCTGACTCCTATTTAGATTGTATAAATCATTGTTATCGCCTTTTCTTGTATATCATCGTTGACTTAAATCACGTTAGTCAATAACGGAATTAAATAAGTCAAATAACGAGAATCGGATTTTGAACACATATTTTGCATACGAAGCGAATGAAACAGAGCAAAGCAATTGACACACAGGAAAGATAGCTGGAAAGCCAACTCCATTTTAGTCAAGCATTACTCAATATTTATAGTCAGACAAAATAAAGCTACAGACATGCAATGAGTCATGGGATATGATGTGCACACATATGTACGCTCACATAAAAACAGTGAAGACTACTGATAAGCGAATAAATAACAAGGTCAAAGTATGGCTCAAGTAGAATGAATAAAATGGGATGTCCGAAAGCTAGAATACGGTATATGAGCTTAGCATAATAACTGACACTACAATATACTCATACTAAGTGTTTTTACAACAAGTAGATTTAGCAGATATTTAATAGTTCTACGAACTATTAATACAATAATATCTATGATTCAGTGTTTGTTTGCTTTTTTTACCTGTGAAAATAGGTTGTGATGGTTACTGTCGTAGTTCATATTATAAACATTGGATAAGTGCATTTTTGTTTAGTTCCGGTAACAATTAGTTTTATCTTTAAAGTATAAATGAGTCAACTATTTAAAGAAAAAATAAAACTAACTTTGCTTCATTTGACCATAAATTTCAAATTATCCAAGCATATTAAATGATAAACCTTTGTGACTCAATTATCCATTTAACAGTTTGTAAAAAATTGAAATCATATTTATTTTATTATTTTGAAAAGAACAAACCAATCGATGATGCATTATTTGTCTAGAACATAAGATCTATGAAATGGTTTGAACATATTACAGAAAAAAAAAAATCCAAAAAACGAAGTTCAGCGAAGGAATCTCTTTTCAATGAATTTATTATCAAGCTGTACAATCGTTAAAGTACTAATTCTGTGGTTCTACAAAGGTGAAAGGAAAGCAGTTAAGAGTTCTATACTTGAATACTTAGTCGACTGTAATCATTCTACAGTTTGAGTTTAAGGTTGTATACATACACATATATATGATTCATCCAAATCTATCTAGATTTCTTCGTATCCAACTGCTAAAAATAGCCGAAGCTCGTCTACCTCAGTACAATGGAAGGTGGTCGCGCAATTTCGTGGATTGGTTAAGGTTAGACATTAACACCATTGGATGCCGGTCCAGTGGTCTAGTTAGTTAAGCGCCTGGCGCGAGTCTGATAGGTCCTGGGTTCGAATCTTGCAGGGGGTGAGATCGTGGATGCGCACTGCTGAGGAGTCCCATAATTGGACGAAACAGGCCGTCCAATGCATTCAGGTTTTCCATGGTGGTCTAGCTTTAATTGACTCATGATTTCAATCAGTGAAAAAACATTTAATTGCCTTACAACATTCGCGTTATAATTCGTTACTAACATATCAAGTCTATTGTTATTATTCGTATTACGTTATCTAATATTATAATCTTTCTATTACGTCATCTTGGTTATTCTTGCTCACATTTCCTCATGGAATTAGTACTTTAAACAAAAAAATTTCATATATATACGATTGTACGGCTTGATGATAAATTCGTTGAAAAGAGATCCCTTCGCTGAACTTCGTGTTTTTAATTTTTATTCTTTAAATGGAAATTATTTGTCAATATTACAGAAAGTCTATTAATCATGATAAACAAGAATGAATTATGAGAATAGGCTGAAAAAATGTGGTAAATGAAATATATAGATGTCCAAGGATTCATTTTGTTCCATTGAGTGAATATGGAATCTTTGAAACGTTTCACTCAATTCTACCTATTACTGAGATTGGATTAATGAATTACAACTTTATCGAATCAATGAAACATGTTTTTTTTTAAAAGTAATGGTTCATGAATTTTATAGTATTTCAACGCTTTCACGATAATGTTAGTCGCTCAGTCAGCTGTAACTTTATGTACATCACTACACAATTAGCACAAATCGATTAAATTGTTAGGGGAATTGTCACAATTATAGACGTAGTAACAGTATTCATTGCAACTGGAAAGATTAGGCATTGAAAATAATATTCAAGAAAATATAAGTTAGTGAATTAAATAATAGATTGTGAGAAATTTAGAAGCTTAAATTCTGAAAAAAGAGAAAGAGGAGTTGATACACCATTCTCATTTCAAACGATTTTGAGCCACTTGTTACAGTAATCACAAAGATACCAACCAGGTACTCCACACTTATTAACATGGCTTAGTCCAATTGTCCATGACTTTGTGGACTACAGTAATCAACTATTTTTACTGTTTCTTCGTTGGAAGAAATAAAAACAAACTTCATCATGTACATTTTTAATCAAAACATATTACTAATCCAGAATTAATTCACTTTTTCTTTATCTCAATCAAGAAACTTTAAGATTGTTTTTCTTCAATTGTTTCCTCAGATTTATTTTCATGTTATGAATAAAACCATGATCATGTTTCACATAAAAACACATTGTTTTGATCAGTAAAAGGTTATGGAAATTGTTTAGTTTTTATCGAGAGCATGGATCGATCAATGCTAGAACACCATTGACCATCATTTCCACAACTATATTCTGACAATTATCATGTGCTCACTAATGACTTGCTTTGAGAGGTAACTCGTGGAGTTCTAGTGAGAAGCCGTGATCAATGGAGTTCAACCGTGTCAGGTGTGAAGTAGTTACTTAACAAAGGCAATGGAAGATGGTTGCGCAATATCGTGGATTGGTTGAAGTTAGACAAAAACACCGTTGGATCCTGGCTCAGTAGTCTAAATGTTAGGGGTCCGTACGAGACCTTGGGTTTTCATTGTTGAGTAGTCTCATAATAGAACAAAACGACCGTCAAGTGTTACCAGGTTTTCAATGGTCGTCTAGCATTGATCGGTTTGTGTGCAAGATAATTCATTAGGTCCAGCATATCAATCGCCTAAAGGATCAACGAATTTAAACATTGATCTGGTATGGGTGCGAATGCTATTTTCCAACTATTACTCTAAGTAGGTCCTCGGATCACAGAGGTAAGAACCTGCAGTATTCACTGTTTACCAAGCAAATCTATCTGTAGGGATTACGTCATTGCCATCTGGATTAAACCATAAGCTGGAAGGCTTGAATGACAGCTCCATAAAAAGATAATGTGTTTCAGTTTTTCTTTTAAAATAGTATAACAGATAATGCACTACTTCAGGTAATCGTAATGAAGGAGATCAAATATTCGCTTGACAGACTACCGTTCACAAAAGGTATATGATCTATAATTTGCTGCTAAAAGATTATGTTACCAGGTAAAGCATGGGATGAATACTCAGCTATGATGTTTTTCAGTCACTTCTAGACTCACATGAATGGTTAAACGTTTGCATGATTCTTTGTGCTAAAAATTTCCGAAATCTGTTGTGGTGCTGGCTTATGACTTACATTAGCACCTAAGGCTTTTTGGCATAGAGTAGAGTTTTTTCGGAGGACAAAACGAGTTTGGTAGTTCCACATCAAATAACAGAAAACATTTAAAGTATTCAACAGATCTGTGTTATGCAGATATTGACAATGACGTTAAATACTTCAACAACTTTGTTCAAACATATTTGTCTGACTGCTACTACCACTACTATCAGCAGGTTTATTGACTGCTAATATTTTCTCTGATTACTACTACATACTGTTAAAAATTTCCCAGAGTACTCCTTGTATTGTAAATCTTTAGTGTGACAGCACCAAAAACTCTGCCTTCTGTTAGTAAATAATCAATCAGATTATGAAGTTATTATGTTAACGATAAAATCAAAGGTAAATACTTTATAATTTTTATTTGTTCTTATTCATAGAGGTATTAACTTGTCAGGACAACATCTACATAAACGTATATATTAGCTTTATTGAAATGAAAGGATAGTCAATTATTATTCATAATGATTTTAATCGCCAGTCACATATATCCTATAAACTTATGTGAATACATAGTTTTATGTTTACCTCAGTTCAATTACATAATGAAATGAAAGTTGAAGGTAGCTAATACTAAAAAAAATATCTGTCTTATTTTGGTGATGAAATATTTGAATCTGTTACAATTTGTGGTGATGCTTTTAAGGAATTATTCACTTCTCCAGAAGGTGTTTCTATGGTATCATATTGTGTTGTACGAACAGCTGTATCATCAAGATTAGAAATATGATCATCACTGATAACTGATTTCTCATTTAAATCTGTTTCTTCATGTGAATGATTTTGTTGTGGTTCTTGATTTTCTTCTTGTCGATAATGTTGTTGTTGATGATGATGATTAGGACTTGTTTTATTTTTTGATGATTTTTTAACAGTTGAATTTTTAACACCATTGAATTTAACTTTTTCATGTAATTTTGTCAAATGAACTTTTTCATTTGCTAAAGCTAACCTCCTTATATTACCTATACAACCAGCACTGGCAGTTTGAAGTTCTGGATCCTTTAAAAAATAGAAAACGAAATAAATTCATTACATAATAACATTTCTTTAAAAGGATCTATCTTCAGGACAATAATTTGTGGACGAAGTAATCAAGATTGTAACTCATGAACGTTTGCACAAAATTCATCGATCTCTATGGCTGAATAGGATTCCGACATTAAAATTGATGTCATTTTGTTATGAAAACCCGGACTCTAACTCTTAAGTATAACGTATGACACTAATTACCAATACCAACTCCTGAGGATAATTCATAACCTTATTCTCGATTTAATAAAAGGTCAGTTTGGGATTGTTCTACGTTCGTTCATAAATTATAGTCCCGCCAGTCTATAGATTCGAAAATTGTAATTATAACGAACCATGGCTAGTTGGAGAGCCATTAAACAATATAGATAAAATGTGAATACTTTGTATATGTTTAAGAATGATAAAATATGTACACACATGAGTCACAATTGATTGATCACTGGGTGGTGATCAATGTCATGCTTGTCTAGTCCTTATTAGTGCAGATCGAATGCTATCGATCATGTTTCAATGTGGCCACCAGTCTAGGTGACTCGACACTGCGGGCACTATGTATTGAGATTAAGATGGTGGTTGGAGGTAGTCAACAGGAAACCCTGGACCCGGCTTTCCTGTTGACTACCTCCAACCACCATCTTAATCTCACACACATGAGTCGGCAGACCAGTAAAACAAATGGATACGGATCATACAATGAACACGGTACTATTCAACTATTTTAAGCAAAGATAAGTAGTGGCTGCCAGTAGAATCTAGGACGAACGTTTCGTCCTATTTGGGACTCATCGGATGAATGTAGTTGCATCCCAGAGTTGACGTTCACTCCAGGATTCAAACATCGTATAGTTCACTTCAAACAGCATCGCATCTTGCACTTTGCTATTGAGTGTAGGTAGCTGATGGGTCACAAATAGGACAAAACTCTATCCCTAAATTTCATTGTTAGCCACGATCTATCCCAGTATTAAATGTTTGTGGCCTAATGGTAATATTGAGGCAATCTGCACAGGATACACATATGCTCAAACGAAACTGACCAATTATATACCTAAACAACAATGGGAAGATTTAAACAATCAATATATAAAAAGTTTTGTTTGAAAGTTTACGGGATACAGATTCCGCTTATCATCGAGGAGGTCAGCAGAGTTAAGTATTAAATGCAATGTTTGGTTGTCGTAAATCACTTGGTTTTCATGGTCGACTTCATGAAATACCCGAAAAAGTTTGACAGTGAATGACATAGAGTTTTGGATTATAATAAATGCAAATAATACTAATGTCATCGAAGATGTTTTAATACAAAGCCTGGCTTATTCAGATTTTTGCCCGGAAAACAATCAACACTTGACTACAATTGATACTGACTATTGAAGGTCTGTGATAACAGGACTAATGACAAAGAAATATAGGTGATTTCCCAAGAAAATCTATATTTAACATGTTTTGTCCTCCATAAGGAAAAGAACTCTATATCTCTATTATCTTGTTAGATTAAAGATGAGATTGTTGACCACTTACTGAAGAGCCGACCATTTGTAATAAATACTTTACCACATTGACTTGATGCATTGAAACACAATTATTTGGATCACGACTGAGTTGAAATAATGCTTTTGCAGTTGACCTATGAACATTTGGATCCGATGATTTAAGATAACGAACAATAGGTATAACAGCACCAGCACGGCCGAAATCAATGCGATTTGTTCCCCATGTACAACACTTTGCTATAGCATCGGTTAATGGACATCGAAGGCGATCATCATTCTATTAGATTATTTTAAAAAAGACGATATGAGTGTGTTTGGTAAGTTAAAAATGGTATCTGAAGTGTTTAGTGCAAAACTTTATCTACAGGATATGCTTACTACAGAGCAGTTAATTACATCTGACATATTTTATGCTGAAAAGATGTTTCGTGTAATAGTCAATCTATTATATGTGAAAAATATATTAAAAATAATCTCAGCGATTGAAATTTTAATAATTCCGACGTTTCGTTCATCAAAATTGTCTGGACTTCTTCAGGGTAGTCGAAATCAAAGTGTAATTTTGACATATAGTGTCTTCTCTATATTTGGCGCTCAATTTCTATCAAACTGTTCACTATAATATTGATGAATATTCGTAAAAGTCAATAAATTAGTTTTAATAGAAATTCAGGGAGTATTGACTACCAGGGAAAATTGAAGACCGTTGTTTATTTTGATAGTTCAAGTGGCTACTAAAAGATAACAACAATATTTCTACCGTGGTTCCTTGTCGAGTGCTAATTCTTTTGGTTAAATATGGTTTACTTGAGAACAGGGAATTCCATTTTCACAAGATAAACTTCATTTACACTAGCTTGGTTAATAATATAAAAAAATATTTTTGTTATATCCCAATAAGTAAAAGAATTGTATTTATGAAGTTTCATGACTTCATCTAAGCCGCTTCTTTAGAGTAAATAAATAACCGAATTAACTTAATACCGATGCTGTCCAAGGAAACACGAAAAGCTTTTATAGGATGGGAATCTCATTGATCGAGGATCATCAATCATTCCTCAAAGCAAAGAAGGAAAGGATTACAATGAATAGCAACTAGTGCTATGCACTTACATGCGAGGATGGTAGAGACGATAAAAATCAGTCAGATGGAAAGCTGTAGTTCATCGTATAGAAATGTTCATTAAAGAACCTAGTCATTAAGACAGAAATAGACGCCAAAGTCGGAATGGACAACACCAAGTATAAAGATATCATGAGACGACATGGACTGAAACAAAAGAACGAGAATGGAGAAAGATTGCAAATTTGTATACCTTCAAAAAACGTATACATAAAACCACATGAGTTTCACCAGACCACACTACAGACAACTAAATCAATCACATTTGCATCAATGAAAAATTCGAAAGGTCCATGGAAGACGTAAGAACGAAAAGAGGGGGTAGTTTAGCTTCAGATCACCACTTGGTGGAGACCAAAGTGAAACTAAAGCTAAGGAAGCACTGGACAATAATAGAATTAACGTTACAAAAGTTTAATACAGTATTCCTTCGAGATACTGACTAATTCAGTATAACTCTCAGTAACAAGTTCCAAGCACTATACGATCTACTCCAAGGAGAGAAAACCACTATGAACGAGAACTGGAAATGTACAAAAGAAGCGATAACTTCAACATGTCAGGAGATCCTTGGTCACAACAGGCATCAGCATAAAGAGTGGATTTCTATTGATACCCTGACCAAGATTGCTGAAGGGAAGAACACGAAAAAATACGCCAAAGACCTAGCAACGACAGTGGTAGAATTCAAAAGAGGAGAAAATATGAAACAAATACATGATACAACGAAGAAACTGGCAGGAAAATATGGTAAAACAGAGTAATCATTTGAAAACAAAGAAGGAAGGGCAAACGCTGAAATTCACGTACTGTGAAACAGGTAGGTAGAACACTTTGAGGAACTCTTGAATAGACCAGTCCCACGGAACCTACAAGACACCAAAGCAGCACACACAGACCTTCCAATCAATATCAATTCACCACCTATTGAAGAAATTCGAAGTGTGAAAGTAGGGTGACCTGACAATATGCCGGCTGAAGCACTGAATTTAGATATGGAAGAACCTGCAAACGTGCTCCATGTTCATTTCAGAAAAATCTGAGAAGAGGAATAAGTGACGATAGACTGGAAAGAAGGATACCTCATCAAGATACCAGAGGAATGAGATTTGAGAAAGTGTGAGAACTACAAAGGCATAGGTTGAATGCAACTAGATGACTTGGACTTCGCAGATGACTTGGATATTTTATCCCATACACGCCAACAAATGCGGATGAAGGAAACTAGTTTAGCAGCAGTCCTCAGCATACACAAGGGAAAAAGCGATATCCTCAAACTCAACATTGGAGAACACCATACAAATCACGCTTGATGGAGAAGGTCTGACAGGAGTGGAAAAATTCACGTACATGAGCAGCTTCATTGATGAACAAGGAGGATCTGATAAAGATGTGAAGTCATGGATTGGAAAAGAAAGTGCAACGTTCTTACAGTTGAAGAACATATGAAACCCAAAACAACTGTCAAACAATATCAAAGTCAGAACCTTCAATAAGAACGTCAAGGCAATTCTACTGTACAGAGCTGAAACTTGGAGAACTATTACAACCCTCACCAAGAAGGTAAAAGTATTTCTAAACAGTTGTCTAGGCAAGGTACTCAATATCCACTAGCCAGATACCATCAGAAACAACCTACTGTGGGAGAGAACAAAACAACCTACTGCTGAAGGGGAAATTAGGACAAGACGTTGGAAGTGGATAGGACATATATTTTAGAAATCATCAGACTGAATCAACAGGCAAGGGCTAACTTGGAATCTTTCAGTTAAAAGTAAATAAGGAAAGTAAAGGATAAACAGGGGCAAAAATTATAATCAGACATAAAAGGAATGAACAGCGTTTGACAACAGCTGGAAGAAGAACCAAGGACAGAGTTGGTTGGAGGATCCCAATCGAAGGCTTATGTTCCTCCACGAGGGGTAACAAGCGTAAATAAAACAAAGTAGATCATATAATATAAGACGTAAATAAGCCCTCATTGCTAAAATTGCACGCTAATACGAGTAGTTCATAACTACTTCGTCTATGTTTATTCCAGTTATCATCATATATTATCTTTGAAAAAAATAATTATAAGACATTTTATTACCGTGTGTGTCAAACGTGATAATAATGGGACTACACCATGATCAGTAATTACAGCTAGATTTTCCTCATCCTCTGCAATTTTTGAAACAGCGGCACAAACAGCAGCTAAGACCTCCAAATCCTTCGAATTTAATAAACTGACAATTAATTCAAGTCCACCAACAAATGAACGTACTAGTTCACCAGCATCCTGTAGTAATAGTAATGAAGAATGACAAAAATTATTTAAAAGTTGTGTTTGATGAGTTGTTTTGAATATATATATATTTTATAACTATGAATGATTGTTGTGACTTTAAGTAGTGGTTGATTTCTACCCTGTGCTGACTGATGTGTCCTTGACTGGAAAAAACTAGAGGACAGCGTATTTATCGACCGATTCAATGACACGTAAACACGTACGAACGTAATGGACGACCTAGAGTTACGATTGGTCCTGATTCCCTGTCTATCCCAGCCAGTTGAGTCCAGAACGCAAGTCACAGCCTCTGAGTTATGAATCATTGTATTTCAGACATACTTTATTTATATACTAACTAAACATACCACATCGTACCATAAAAAACAACATTTTGTACGATATTCAACAAGTGGACAGATATCGACCAGTAGGAAATGTCCATTTAAAGTCCAAGGACACCATTGGACTTAACATGATAATTATTGGTCTATCCTTCGCATCCACAACAATGATATAGATTTGATTCGTTCAGAGCTCATCAGTTTCCTAAAGATTATAGACATATATCGCTGACTAGTATCGAATATCACGAAACCTTTGTCCAGGGTTCATATTCGGCTACACCAAACCGCCTGTTATTTCAATATGATTCACGCGATGTCGATTCACCTACAGTCATCCTAGTCTTACTTCATTAATGAAGTTCTGTCAGCACTATAAGAACTTGGTAAATATGACACTGATCAGTCAATTGTAATCTGACATTATATATATATATATATATAAGCTCTGAACGAATCAAATCTATATCATTCATAGTTATAAAATATACCCTTGTTGACCAGGATAATTTTACATTGGTTTTCAGGAGAACCAGACACCATCTAGATTTTCACGTGACAACCCAAACAGTACAGCTCAATCCCGTTTAGCAGGGGTGCCAGACACTGCCCAGGCTTAAATTTTATAACCCGGGCAGTACAGCTCAATCCCGGTTCACAGGAGAACCAGACACCGTATAGACTTTAACGCTACAAACTGAATAGTACAGTTCAATCCTGTGGCGCAACCACACAGGTACCAAGCACCCTGATGGACTATTCGCACCATTCATATACACATTCATATCACATGTATAGTTATTCCGATTGATGATCGCGTGAATCAGTTATGCACATCACAAACAGGCCAAAGTTGACCTATTCTGCTTACACGACAGTCAAACTCGTTAATGTTACCAATGGCGACATGCCTTATAATGTTCCAATTACAATGGCCCTTGAGAACACTGAAAAGAAACCACCAGTATGAATGAAATCAGACGAATTCTTACAGTTTCGTGTAAAACTCATATTAGTGATCAAATAATCTATATGTTCATGTTACTAACATAGGCTTGTAATTTCTCTCAAACTCCAGTTGACGTTATCATCATTTACTTAAGTTCACGATCATTTTGAATGATAAATATGTATTCCGCTTACTTACTTTTATCTCAATATTACTCATTTATTAGTTCTGTAATGAACGAGTACAAAAGTAGTGACAATTGAATGTATGTGAATACAAAATTATAAAATTTGAAAACTATACAGTGAATACTGCATTTGCAAAATGTCAATCAATTGTCTCGAATTTCATTATTCCTTCGTTTCTACACCAATCATTGTCTGTTCTCGTTCTTTGATCTTCTTAACCTACCAGGTATTTCACTTTTGATTGATGATACATACTACTTATATCTATTGACATCAGTAACACACACTACAAATATCCAACTTTATACATATTACAATATTTAATTATTTGTAGTAATTCCGAAACAGTCAATTATTAAATGATGAATTGAATAGCAAAACTAAATTAACTACCATCACTATGAATATTGAAAAAAAAATAAAACTTTTTATTAACTTAAATATTTGAGAAATTATGGTTTGTTTTGTTTTTCGGAAAAACATGTCGAGATCTCGTCAATAAAAATGGGTAATAATAAATGACGTAATACAATTATGTATGTAGTTATGTAGTTACCTGAATTTCAATGACATAAACATTTTATTCATTATTTGCAATATATATGTATAGCTTATCATGAACATTTATCTATATAATATTTTTGAAGTAAAAAATACCCATATATCAAGTCTACCATAAAAGTTCCACGTGATTGAAATCTATTCATTTTCTAATGTTCATCCTTGATAGGATAATGGATGCATATAGATGAGTAGTTCTATACTAGAACGAAACAAGTGTCTAGTGAATCTTGGTTTTCAATGAATGTTTAAATTATATATGTTCGTAATAAAATAAACATTCATTGATCTTCATAAACTTCTGTACTGATAAGTAAAACCGTAGAATATACTTTAACAGTTGGAAAACGGTATCTATTATTTATTTAATCTATAACTGATAACAGTTTGATGATTTAAGGAGAGTAAGAAGAGATCATAATGAACAATAAATGCAAGATATATTGTTTATTCTCTTCATTCAGCTCCGGAAAAAAAAGAAAAACAAGAAAGCCGATAACTTGACTATTTATTTGTATCACAAAATTAAAATAGACACATCTTTGTTTCTGTTGTACATAAATCTATTTACAGTCTTGTTAGTATTATAGTTACAATAGGAATTTAAAACATGATTTAAGAAATAGATAGACAGAAGCTTTAGGAATGATGAAAAATTGAAAATATTGAAGTGAATTCATAGAAAAAGAGATAAGTTCAGAGACAATGACAAATTGATGACCAAAATTTAAGTATATCTTTTGGGTAGATTCTGGAATGAACTATTTAACATTGTTGATAATCTGATAGCTTTTCGAGAGCTAAAACTGTTTTCGTAAAAGACTCATGATCTTAATGAATAAATTACTATAATATCCGCAAAAACCCTAGTGATTTGCTTCAAGAGATATTTCCTGGAGTTCTGGTGAAAAGTAGTGACCAGTGGAGTTCAACCAGGTCTATTGTGAGATAGCGATAATGGACTTGTCGCTCAATTTTATGGATTAACTGAAGTTATACATTAGCATCATTGGATGCTGGCTAAGTGGTCTAGAGGTTAAGGGTTCGCACATGAGACCGATGGGTCCTAGGATCGTGGATGCGCACTGCTGAGCAGTCACATACTAGGACAAAACAGCCGTCTAGTGGTATCAGGTTTTCAATGGTGGTCTAGCTTCAATTGACTCATGACTTATTTATTTATTTTTAACTAATGTCAATATGAAGATTTATAAAAGTAGGTCTAATGAGCGATTACTTGTTGGTTTTCACTGTTTGAAGAAATCTGTATTCATAATGACTATTTTCTTGAGTTTCTATGTCATGAAAAACTAAAAAATGTGTACATAACGTCAGGTTGTCATATGATTATGCGTTCAGTTATTCATATTCCCTTCATTGGTTTTTTGTCTCGAACAAAAGCGAAAGATTCTATCTCAATTGTTTGAGAGTTTCCTAGTAAAGTTTCTCTATGAAGATATCTCTTTGGTTATATAATGTAGTGGATAAATAATAAACTGCTATCAAAAAGGACTCAAAATTAGATTTGATTCGGTAGCCATTCATCAAGAGTTGTGTAGTACACAAATAGGGAGCTCCACAATTATTCCCTAATGACTCTGATGAAGATATCTTGGAAGTGTTAACAAAATATTCCATTTGATCATTCAGTTGTATGACATGTGAGTAATCATTTGCACGTGGTGAAATGAAGGTGATACTAATCGTTCAACTAATATTATTGTATTCAATTGAATATATCTGTAGAATACTCATAAAAGTAACCGAATGGTCTTTATTCAAGTGTCTCCTGTGGGATTATAATCTACACCTTTTGGAAATAAATCAGTATAAATTACACATGATGAATTTTGGACTAATCCAACTTTATATTATTCACATGTCACAGTATATTCAGCTATGATCACGTTACGAAAAACATTTTATTAGATGTGGTAATCTGTTGACCTATTGGAAACCAGGGAGATGGAATTCATCGGATTTGTTTTGGGACAGTTGTTATAAAACTGGGAAATGTACTGAGTGCAACAGCACTATGATACGAAAACAATTATCCATATCACATAAGGATTTTAAAGCAGACAAGAGTGTTATATCTTACAATCTGGTAAATTCCTCATCAATCGGATTGTGATCAATTTTATTGTTCTTCAAAATTTGGGCGCTTTGTGTCATATTAGCGAGATAGACACAGCACTCACTAGCAGATTTAATATGGGACTTGACAGATGATACATAGCAATAAATCGTTCTTATTCGGGGTAGAATATTCACTAACATGTATTTTTGACAGCGTGTCCGCTTCTCCATAGTTTTCACTTTAATGGTAATTAATTTTAAAGTCAAATCCCAGTAGAATCAGCTGTTCAAATTGCATAAGATTTTGTTTATCTTGGAATACTGCTAAGGTCAGCTGAGGATCTATTGTCATGGAAGCATCAAACTGTACTTATTAATATTAAAGATGCGTTATCAGTTTGGGTATATACTGTCTGCTGAATTCAGCGCCCATGATACTTGCAATAAACCTTTAAATGTACTATGGAGGTAAAACCCATTTTCATTGATTGATTTAAGGCATGCATTTCGCCATTCAGATAATCAAACGTAGATAGCATAAGATGCCATGTAGGCAAAAAAGCTAAACAGCTACTAATGGGCCTAACAATGACCTAAGTGGAAATAAATCTATGATGATCATTCGTTATATCCCATGAGCGTTTTCTCCATCATATTGGTTACAGTTCATATCAGAGAAAAATACATCAAAGATTTGAAAGCATCATGACATGTCCTAGTGCAAAGCTTCAGTTTGTTCTTTGTAATCTAGGTTCTGTTGATTTTCAGAGGTTTGTTCAATAGAATACAACTATTAGGAAAGCATTTACTGCAAGAATGTCATTTATAATTATATTCATTGATTAACAGAAGATGATCGGGATTGTTTTTGAACCAAAACCCATCCAGTTATGTTTAAACATGCTAAAATATTCATAAGATTAATAATTTAACATTTGAGTATAAATTTGTTTTACATTTTGTGAATAGAATATTATAAAATGGAGAAGAATAATAGCGTCATGGAAGCATGGCATGTGGTTTGATAGGGAAATAAATCTTGTATGTGTACTCAGAGCATCAACAGAAAAGTTATCCATAATGATAGCTAAGCTCTCAACTAGAAGTGAATCCCTTGCATTGGATACTGAAATGTTAACCCTCAAAGAGTATTGGATCACAATATAATAGTTAAATAGATTTTTACATTTTTGGGTCTTTAATTTGCTTTTAATTAGTAATAGAGAATATGCTTATCATACGGTTATACGATAAGAAAAAACAGTTTAATTTTACGATTCTTTAAACATTGATAATAACAATACAAACCTTTGCATTTTGGATACATGGACATAAAGCCCAGGCAGCATAAGATTGTACTTTTGGATTAGGATTCTTTAACAATGACCAAAGTAAACGTACACCATCCAAATTTTCAATGATACTGTAGGAAGAAAATATAACTTATTTATGTATAGTCCTTAATAATAATCATAATAATGAAAGGATATATGGTTACATTTTGTAGAGTTTATAATACAGTCAACTACAAAACATTCTTTTATTAAGTCATTACAGTTAACACACAATTTATAGACTTATTTTGATATTATTATTGATCACAAAAAAGATTATCAACGGTAACATGGAAACAAGTTATTTATACTAATGGAATCCTTATCTAAATCTATACTGATATAAATTCTTTTAGGAACTTTGTAAATGTTTCAATAAAATACAACTCTCAAGTAATTATGTCATCTTTTACTAAGTATGGCAAAATCTTCAAATTACGTAACACAAACTTGTATGTATTAGTTATTAATCATTGTGTACTGAATATATTTCATAAATCATTTAGTCAAGTTGACAATGCATTTCATTAAATTTAAAATCGGTAAGTTGTATATTTGTGAAGATAAAAATATATCAACACTACAGTGGATAAAATGTTGTCCAACGCTTTCAGCTTTTCAATAGTGATCTAACTAAGATTAATTAATGATTTGGACTATGAAAAAAAATCGTAAATAAATCTACTAGTTATAAAAAGTGTATAAGTAAACAGTCATGATTTTATAGAACAGTCAATGTTTTATAAATGTGCTCAATAGTGACTAGCTTCGTGAAGGAATTTTTGGAGTTCTAGTGGAAGCCATAGTCAGTGGAGCTAACCCATATCAGATAGAGACAGGTATCTACTTCAGATAATGGAACATGGTCGCGCAATTTTGTGAATTGATTGAAGTTAGACATGAACAAAATTGGATGCTGGCTCAGTGGTCTAGTTGGTTAAGTGCCGGGCGCGAAACTGATAGGTCTTGGGTTCGAATCTCGCGGGGTGCGGGATCGTGGATGCGCACTACTGAAGAGTCCCACAATAGGACAAAACGGCTGCCCAGTGGTTCCAGGTTTTTCATGGTGGTTTAGCTTCAGTTGACTCATGATTTTAATCAAAAACTTAACAATCTCCACAAACCCCAAATTGATAATTACGAAATGTTAAAGAAATTATATATATATAACTGATTCTTCAGAAATTTCTTAACAAAAAACCTTGTCCAACATATATGGTTTGTAAAATTCAAACAAATGAAATATTAGAAAGTCTGTCAATTGATCAGTTGTCACATAAAAATATTTAAATCAACTACTAAATATGATCATGATAGTTTTAATGCATCTGTAAATTATGTATAGTAACGGTTGTTATTTTGAATATTAGAAAACATCACTCGGCAACATCAATATTGGTCTGTTTATCAGGTATTATTATTATTATTATTATTATTATTATTATTATTATTATTATTATTGAATACATATCTCATTTCTCTAGTCTGCTTATGCATTAAATAAGTAAAAAAAAATCAAGTTCATAAAATCATGATATTAATGAACTATTACATTATTATATTATGTACCTGTTGTATTAATTTACATAGAAATCAGAAAAGAAAAACATGTAGAACTTATTACTATTATATTAATATTAGTAGTATGTATGTATGTTTATATAAATATGCATGTAATAAAAAAAAAACGTTATACGTTTCAAAACGTTAATGTAAATGTCGAATATCCATTTGCACATTATCATAAAATATAATCATATATATAATCCAAAATTGTATACATTAAATGTTATACCTATACATACTACTTATTGATGTGATACTATAGATAAATTACAAGTTTATGATGTTTTATATAAGTAATATATAAAAATAAATTATTATTATTATTAGAATATAATATAAATAATAAGTAATATAAAAATCAAAAACGTCACATAATGAATCAATTTTATAATGTGTGACAAAATTATTAAACGTATTTAACGTTTATCGTGTATATCAAATATATATATATATATATATATATATATATATATATATATATATATATATATATATATATATATATATATATATATATATATATATATATATATATATAAACTTAACTAGAATGTCGATAAAGCAATGAGAAGACGAAGATTATCAGAATTATGTGACATATTTGCGCAATACATTTCGAACAATCTGATCATACGTACAACTTGTTAAGACATTTTTATGATAATAGGTCAGCTAGACAGATTAAAGAAAAGCCGTAACAAAGAAAATAAAATTATGATAAAGTACACAAAAACAATGTGATTACCACTCTGGATACTAAATCTGTATTACTAGGGTAGGTTAAGTGTAAGGACAGATTGTTTTTGAACTCATGGATTACAAAAAATTCATAAGCTTAACTAGAATGATGTAATTTTATTTCAACTATTCTATTATTTAAAGAGGACGAATGTATTTGTGAAATTTCAAATTCTTTCGTTGAGATTTTACAAATACATTCTTCCTCTCTAATGACTCACATTAACTCGGCGCCCAAATATTGTGAAACTATACGTTCAAATTTAGACGAAATTTCTTATTTATTATTCTATTATTTAATTATATTAACTTGATATATTGTATATAAAATATGTTAGCATTAATTTTATTAAATTTGTTACTGCTTAATAATATGATAGTTACATTGATAATAATGTGATGTGAGTATTATCAATCGAAAGTGAAATACTTGGCAACAGAATGTTAAAAAGATCAAAGAGAAGAGAATGAGAACAGAGAATGATTGTTGTGGAACTAAAAGAATAATAAAGTCTGAGACAGTTGATTGACATTTTGTAAATGAAGTAGATACTGTATGGTTCTCAGATTTTACAAAGGAATTCTGTAATTTTATGTTCAATTACATTCGAGTGTCCTTACTTGTGTCTTTGTTCACTACAATAATTCAATTATTATGTACAGTTATGAGTACAAGAACTTAAATCACATATGAAAACCAACAACCGTAGTAGATGGGATTTAACCTTTAATCTAACTAGTAAAAGTCAATTGCTTCAAAACTAATCAATCGTTCCAGTATAATAAACCAGTACCTTATTATTTTACGAAAATTGTTAGATAATACTATTTTATTTAAATGACAACTTATGAGAGATAACACATCCGTTGAAGTAAAAATATATCAATTACAATGCTTGTGTTTATCATTCTGTCATTAAAAATAATACAAATATTGGTAACGGTATTAGGTTCAAGTCCCAAAGTGAACACCAACTGTGGGATGCAGGTACATCCGGTTGACGATTTCTAAATAGAACAAAACCTACGTCCTGGATCCTACTGTTATTCACCATACGTCTTTACTTAAAACGCTTGTGACTGAAGGCATTATCGAGGCTATCCGTACAGGATGCACATATACCAATAAGAGACTGTTCATTTGCAGTTCTAAGCATCAATGGGAAGATTCAAATAAACAATACAAAATAAATAGGAAAAAGAGAATTCAAAGAAGAAAAGTAGAATGATTTCGTCGAAAAGAAATTTTTTTCGCTGAATTCTTTTTTTCTTATTCAATGACATTGGTAATTGTTGTAGTGATAATAATAAGAAATTTTCAACCTCAATTTGCTGACATGAATGAGATCAGTGTAAAGTAAAACTTAGAAAATTTATTTAACATGATTGATTTCAGGTGATAAATATAAAGAAAATGAAATTTACAGAGTTTAAAGAACATACATTTATTCCATCTCATTAAGTTCTCTTCAATTAAGCATGATTTTAAGAAATATTAGCATGAAAAGCTTAAGTCCGATTCAAACAATACATTCCAAAAAGTTTAAGGTCGAATGGATCAAAAGAATTTAGCGGTGCCATTTCTTTAACACAAGACAAGAGATACATTGAAGTCTATCAAAGTGATTTAAAAATAATCAAACTCCAATATTTTGAAATTTACCGAAGCTATAGCGATCAAACGTCTACAACTAGATCTATGTATCCAGAAAGAAGCAGTAATATATCTTTCTTCGCCCTGGTAATATTACACCCCTTCTTTATTTGTTACATTATTTCAAGTTTTTCTGAAGCTTAATTACATCATTGTCATTTTTCTTTAAGTCATAACTGACTTATTTCAATTCATATGTCTTTATTACCATTAATCTGTCTTCCATTACTTCAATACATAACCATTTAATGTTCATGAACTCTATGAGTTCTAATCACTAGTTCAATGTTTTGGAACTTTCCCTCTCAAACTCGATTTATTTGTATGAAACAAACAATTTTTATTACCTTATTAACTCTATTGGAAACTTCACTCTATCATGATACACATATTCATTTGTAATCACCCTCGTAGGTATAAGTATGTCAATATCTGGAATAAAGTTGATCTTAAGTATTCTAGAATGTAATCAACTGATGAGAACCTAACGAAATAAAGTGAATTCATATGTTAGTCTGCATCAATCTGCGTTCTTGCTCTCTTTAAGATAACAAAGGGAACTATGTATATGGAAAATAAGAATTGTATTTTGCAGTTAAAAAAAAACAGTAAATTGTTTTTAAAGCTTAATTCGTAAACATTTTGATGAGGCTGATCTAAGTAATTAGATCTATAATTATGAAAAGAACTGAAGGTGGTGACACGATTCTTACAAATATAGAACAATAAAACGAATGGAAAAGAAGAGATCTGCCAAATTTGAAATCTTTCAAATATTCTGTACTTTAGAGTCATAAACAGCATTATGAACTCAACTATAGATCACCACCTAAAGAATCTCAAATGCACACGATATTTAACAATCGCATTCATTATCTTCAGCAAGGAGAGTAACAAGGACACTGACTTACTTGTAAGAACTATGGCTCTATTTAATACAAAAGCTGGAACTAAGTACTTTCACTTTAAATTATTTTTTATGTTTGGCATTCTAAAGGATTTACTGTTATGAGTTATGCAGAGATAAGAATTAAACAAAACCACATGAACTCAGCCTTTAGATATTGAATTAAAATTACTTTGCGACACAGTGCTTGTTCTGTATGATGCTATCGTGACTTTTTATTTGGATAAATAACTATTTTGTAAAATAAAAATGAGATACATGAGGTATTGTAAAACATTTAATATTACCTCATACTATCAGCTTCTTCTGCACATTTTCCAACAGCTTTAGTTGTATTTGTGAGCAGTTCTTGGTTTGTTCTTGTAAGCAAAGAAACTAATGATGGTATTCCTCCAGCTTTACGTATTGTACTACGATTACTTGGATCTTTGGCCATTTCACTAAGTGCACCGACTACATTTACTAAAACCTAAAAATAGAAAACATGTTTCAAGTTAAATATTAAGAAGAGAACATTTACCATTCAATAAATGCACATTGTATTCACAATTAATAGTTTGTAAGGAGTAGTGAAACATACCAGTTGAATATAATTCTAAACAAATCAGATTACAGATAATTAATTTCATATCTTGAAGTGTAAACGTCATAGTAACCTTCGTTAACTTCATGGAGAATTTGCAAAAGAGACTTTGGTAGATCACTAAATGATGAATAGTGAGGAGAGATTTTTATTCCGTATTGGAGTAGAAGTACATTGTATATAGATAAGTAAGCTCTAGATTATAACTTGTAATGATGTCATATGTGTTGTCAGTATCATTTAATGTATACTAATGTTTTTTATTATTCATTTAAAGTTAACTGATATACAAATCACACTACAGTCATGCACTAACAGTTATATAGTGCATAGATATTAAATTGGTCTCAGATAGTAACACTAAATCATTGTTTGGTAATGTCCTGTTCGGCTAGTAGTCACTTAGTATGTACTTTACCATGATGGAACATATACATATTCTCGTAAAAGATCAGTGGGGGACTACTTATTTAGCTTCTATACCAAGTTCGTTTGGTTTTTATTATATGAATGGAGATTGTAGGCCATAAAATGACTAATGATGTTGAGAGTGTTCAAGTTTCAGTGACTTTCCAACAGATCTCTACTTCTAACTACTTGGATGCTCAGTTACTAGTTAGTGGTACAGAAGTGTCAAGGACATTTGTTACGTGTCAAAGTATGATACAACTATATCTTCCAAACGAACCACTTTCGTGTCCTAGTTTCATCGTTGATTATCTATTAAGACAGTCAACTTTGACAACGGGAAAAACAAACGGCTTCAATATCCTTTGTTTTCTTAGTGCTCACCGAGAACATACGTTGATCATCAGCCATTATCAGTAGGAATACATTAATTGAAATAGCAATTTTTCCTTCCTAATTGGTCTTATGTTTATAAAAAGTGCATTTGGTTCAGTTTTAGCTAAAACAGAATATTTTCATTGTAACTAGATCGCATTTGAAATGTGTTCGATTTCATTACTCATAATTCATACAGATGATACACTATAGTTTATCAAAGTGCTTATTTACAGTATTGATGAGAGCTTAGGTAACCACTTGAGGTTTTAAAAGAAATGTATGGGATTTCTCAAAGAGTACATAATAATACATGCTTAACTAAACAGACTTTATAAACAGATCATTAGTACTTGAAAATACTACTCATTTTCTTGATAGTACGGTTAGTTCTAAAAAAAAAGACTAAATTACATGAAAGCTTTACTACTAATTATTGTTGACAGAAATATAACACAATAAGATATTTAATATCGTTTTATATTATACTTGATTTATTTTGAAAAGTGGTCCCTACATTCAATTTTATAAACTGATGAAAGATAATCATATATCACTAGACTATAATTATCTTTCGTATACATGTACAATTCTCTCTTGACTGATTTCAGTTAAGAAACTACTCACACTATTATAAATGATCAAATAATGAGATGATTTAAGCATAACAATCATGTAGGGTAAATTTATTTACTAAATATAATACTTTACGCCTAAACATGCGTCTGTTCACCATGGAAAATACAATGAAAATATTTGAATGTTTTACTAGGAGTAGTAACTATCAGTATTAAAACTTCTTTAAATAGTGATTTATTTTATTTTCGAAACTAAGGAAATTTCAAATAGTTTTTTTTATACGTTCTGTCCTTGTTTTCCTGATATTCTTTAGAACGGGAAGGTCATTTTTGACGCCATTGCATTTCACATTAATTTACTTTTGGAGTCACAGAATATCGAATAATTTTTTTATTGTCAGAAAGAGGACTTTGTGGAGATTTAGGTAATTTATTATTTGGATTCATGAGTCGATTAAAGCTAGACCACCATGATAGACCTGGAAACACTGGATGACCGTTCCGTCATAGTATGGGACTCTTCAGCAATGTGCATCCACGATTCTTCTCACAGGATTCGAACTTAGCACCTCCGGTCTCGTGTGCAAACGCTTGAACTCTAAACCACTGAGCCGGCATCTAACGGTTCGAATCCCGCTAGCGAAATCGTGGATGCGCACGGCTGAGGAGTCTCATACTACGACGCCCGGTGTTTCCAGGTTTTCCATAGTGATCTAGCTTTAATCGACTCATGAATGTAACTATCAAATGTTTTTATTTATTCAGCAAATCAATAATCTGTTAAGTAGAATACAACTTAGTTTACAAGTTAGATTGATAAGTACTAATAATAAATATCAAGATATAATTAGTCTTAATATCTTTACGGGCAATATGGCATTCCCTGTTAAACGATTACCCAAGTTTAAACGACATTTATTAACCAATCGATATTTTCGATAATTTGCAAATATCTTTAAGTGGAACTTATCTATGTAGTACTTTCTCATTGGATTTTACTAGTACATAATTTAACAACACTTTGCACACAGAATCCATTGACTTCTTGAAACTAATGGATTATCAAAGTCATGTAAATAGATTTCTAGACAAAAACTGACTCAACAATAAAGGCTTATTATTTTTTTAAAAATCTCTGAGATCCAAGAAGCTAAGATTGTTGATAGTCGATCCATCGTTCAAACTAAGAATGTCATTATTTACACTTAATTACAAGCATTAGGTATTAGGTTTTCTCATAATTTAGAATTGTAAAACATCAAATAATTGTAGTAAGTGTTATATATTTCATAAAAATTAGTAACACTTCAATATCGGCTATAAAACCAATAACATGGAAGCACTGGAAGGCCGTTTCGTTCCAGTATGGGAATCCTCAGCAGTGCGCATCCACGATCCCGCCCCTCACGACATTCGAACCCAGGACGAAATGGCCGTCCAGTGCTTCCAGGTGTTCCATGGTGGTCTAGCTTCAATTGATTCATGATTTTAACTACTGAAATTTTTAAAATCACAAAACGTCTTCTGAAAAATATCACTAACGACAGGAAATCTGGTAGGTCTTTTACCTTAGTTAAGGAATGAGGTATAACAACTTCCTCTAATCATTTAACATAACATAGAACAAAGGAAATTTAGGTTTCTTGACAGACAAAGTACAATTTAGCTACTCCGTCAGAATATAACTATCCATATCTCTTAAATTCATACAACTAGGTATATAGTCTAAGTACCGCTTATTGTTATAAGTGATGACTCGTTTCAGTTCTTGCTTGATTGACTCTATAACTCAGATCTTCGTACCACAACTTGAAACCTGAGCAAGTAATAATAACTCAATCACTAACCCTACTAATCTGTCCAGTGTTTCAGGATTCCTAATGATTATTTGGTTAGTGTTAAACCTTAATGAAAATTTTCCTAGAAATCAGTGACCTTAAATCAGCTTCACCTACTAAACAACCGGAAATGATATAGATAATCAAAATCATTAAGTTGAGTAAATATGTGAAATTAAAAAGTGTTTAAAAAGTAAAATTTGAGAACAAAATTATTTAGTTAATTACCACATTTGCTTTATGACTTATTTAAAGAAATAATCTTAATTCCAATTATTGTTAGTGAAATCTATGTCCTACTATTAACAATTAGTCTGTGTAATAGTAACATTGAAAACATAAAAATTTAAGAAAAATTGATATCCCTAATAAATGAATAGAATTATCTAGTAGCAATATGAAGGAGTACCGGATATTGTAATAGAGTAATCCGTTATTTTGTCTAGCAGTTAAGGTAATGATTTGATGACATAAAAATCAAGTACTGTACTGTATCAAGAAAACATATGATGGGACTATAATTTATGGACGACCTTTGAGCAACGCTAAAATGACTTGAAAATATCAATCTACTTACTATGGTTAAATGTGAGTTATAAATTGATGCGACGGACTATGATTAAGTTTAGAAATATTTTAATCACGAACTGACATTAGTTATAATGTCGAAATGCTATTTAGCTATATGAGTGGATGAATCTCGCGTCGAAATCCAAGACGTGCTATCTTTAATCTGATTGGTTCGTCCATAAATTATAGCCTTGCCACACACTTTTTTTTCAAATCAACTATTATTTAAGATTGTGAATAATGATATGTGGTTTTGACTAGGAAAATTAAGAAAAAAGCTTGGAAATTACAATTGGAAAGAGATTTCAGAGAATAAAACAATCAACTGTTAGACAACAAAGTCTCTTTTATCCAATCACAGTTTATTCATGAATCAAATCATTAATAAATAGCAAAAATAGAAATCAGCTCGATTATAGGTTGTTAATACACGAATTCGGACCAGTTGGAAGAAAATTTGCTAGTCTTACTGATATGTTAAGTTTGCTCTGAACATAATTTATTATTTGGAAATAAGAAAGAATTGGTTGGCGTCAACATCGAATTGATCCAAACGATCCAAACGATCTCCGCTAAGTGATTGTAATTTTACGTCACTTAGATCAATAGACACATTACAATTCTGATCAACACTAAAAAGAACAACTAAGTAAACATGACTTTGATCCCTATCAATTGATGAATCAATTGGATATTTGAGTTATTTACATAAGACTTGATTAGCCCATAGCCAAATGATTGTTATTACTTCTGTCATATATGAAATATAACTAAATTTTAACAAATTTATTAAATACACTTATACGCTTATTGTGTCATTATATCATTTTAGTTTAAGTGAAAAATGTATCTTTTCTTTTCTATGAGACAATTATTTTAAATACAGTAGAACAGTAAACTATTGCACTGTAATTGTTGTAAACGAGAACAAATGTGAGGACAATTGGATATATATGAATACAAAATTACAGAACGTCTTAGTAAAATCTGTGAACCATACAATTAATACTTCATTGACAAAATGTCAGTCAATCGCCTCAGACTTCATTGTTCCTTTGTTTTCACTGCAATCATTCACTGTCCTCGTTCTCTTTTCTTCGATCTTCTTAATCTTCTGTTGACAGGTATTTTACTTTCGACTGTTAGTACATACTACTGATTATATCTGTCACTATCAGTCGTACATACCACACTACTATTAAATGTCTCAATACAAGTATCTAGCAGTCATTATTATCAGCATCATCAATTAAAATTTCATAATAAACGGTTTAAATATGATCAAATTATTGCATTTAATTTTATATTTACACATTTGTCATTTAATTTATGAAACTACATCCTTTTTGGTTGGTAATATCAAGTAATTAACTATATGTAAATGATAGTGTTATATATCATAATTTCACTAAATGTATGGCTAAATCATGATTCACTTTGCATTTAATTATCATAATCCTATTTATGTATGTAAACACTGAAGATGATACGTACTGAATGTTGCTAACTAGTAAGAAACCAAAGTCATGGAGTTCCTGGTGACTATTTGTGATCACTTGATAACAAAACATCAGAATTATAGTTAAATTTGACTTGATTGATTAAGCATTAAGGATCAGGCACTATGATAGTGGTTCTTAATCAAAGATTAACAAGTACAAATAACAGTGGGTTCATGTTTTTTCCACAGATACGTCACATTATGTCTGAAACGATTAGTATAACACTTTTGTTGATAAAACATCGGCATTTTTGTTAAGTTGTAAGTATGAACTATAATTTACAAATTCTCAGTGTTTTCATAAATTTATTAATTATGTACCATAAAATGCAACTCGGCCTGGAGCCCTTCTGGGGCTACTGCTGGTCTCTAACCCGGATAAAGGAGGAGGATTGATATGAGGTTGGTGACCCCACCCCTTGGAAAACTAACTCACTAACCAGAAAGCATAATTAAAAAGAAAACCACAAAATGCCGATTTCTAGTTATTTTTATGAAACACAGTAGTCTTATAATGTCTATTCATGAGATAGAATGCATAACGATACATATCCTGATGTGTGGATGAGGAAAATAATGATTGGTTGTTTGCTTAGTTAGACTAGTAAACAGTCTGACAGGTATTAGATAAGTTATATATTTTCCTGTCTTTATTATTATTGTGTTTGTTTTTTAGTGTGGAAATATACTTACTTTGTAGTCGGGTTATTCACATGTCCTTGATCTGAGTTGTGTTCAGGTCCTGTAGAATAGACACTGAGACGGTATCTGGTGTAGATATTCGTCTAAGGTTAATTAACGTCCCATTCGTTTCGACGAAGAAAACCGAGAGTTATAACATATTCTATCCTGCTGCCAGGTATTCCACTTCCAATACATGTCACATACTACTTATGTCTGATAACATAAGTAGTATGCACCACAAATATATTAATTTTACAAACCTGGTTTTCAGCTTACACTGTAGACTTTAGGTTACCTTTCTCATTATCATTCATATTATATCGTAGTGAACAAGAACACCAGTGGGAACAATCGAATGTACTTGACACAAATTTACGGGACTTGTTAATAAAATCTAACAACCATAAATTAAATGCTTAATTTGCAAAATTTCCGTCAAATGTCTCAAAATGACTCAGACTTCATTGTTCTTGCATTTTGATACAAATTGTATTCTGTTTCCATTCTTTACTGTTCGATCCTCTTGTCTCTCTGCTGCCAGACCTTCTGTTTATAACATCATATATTACTTATGTCAATATAAGTAGAACACACTGTAGTGTCAGTTATTATGGCAAGCCCATCTACCTTATTCTAACTTGTGGACATCCTATTTAATTCATTTTACTTGAGCCATATTTTGACCTTGTCAATTATTCGCTTGTCAGTCCTGATTGCTTTTATATGAGCGTATACGTGTGTGCCCTTCTTATCGCATTAATCACATGTCTGTAGCTTTATTCTGTCTGCCTATAAATATTGAGTAACCTTGACTAAAATAGAGTTGGCTTCCCAGCCATCTTCCATGCGCGTCATGGGCCACTAAAGTAATGAGCCCGCCGACGACGAACGCGACGCAGCAAGCTTCGTCAATGAATGAACGTCGGCACTCCATATTTTCAACGAACTAAAATGGTGAGCCCTCCAACGGACATCATCCGATCTAAACGACGACAAAACCACGAGGCCTTCCAAAAATGGTAAACCCGCGGAAGACGAACAAATTCAGCGAAGCCAGCACAATCTCCAATCCGACGCACTCAGCACAGCCTGTGCAACATGACATGGACATGTTCAAGTCGTATTATCTTATCGATACTTTGTCCTCATGTCAATTATTCTCATTGATCCATTCGTCGGTTTGCTCCATCATGATCCGAAGTATCATTATATGCTTATTATTACATTATTGCTAATATCATGACTGAATGTGGAATTACTAATCTTGTTCATGCTGTCATTAAATTATGATATTATCTCAATCATATCGCCCACCGAACAAATTATCATTTTATGAATACTCCACTTTATGACATTCAAAACTCACTGGAATATATTTACTATTCAAAAACGTGAAATTTTCCTGCTTTAAGTGAGTTCGTTCCAAATTTTTTCATGTCATTTGATCTAATATTACATTCATTCACTTAGTCGAGGTCATTATTTTATGTTATCATAACACACATTCTTCATCGCCTCCTATTATGTCTGTGGATGCATCTAACTAGCTGATTAGAAACCATTACGTTCATCTTATCTATTCTTTCACATGCATAACTGCACGCCGCATCATTTATCAACCAAAAACATTATTCGAGTACTGCAACTACTATTTTATACCCATCGCACGGTATATCAGAACATAGAGTTTAGAGCTAGTCTCTCAAAGATACACTCTTGTTCGTCACATCCAAGTCAGTCTCATACGTCGCCATCGCTAATCATATGTATTGGTATTTTTGTCATGCCTTGGTACGGTTTTGTAACAAACGAGATCGAGCGCATCTCCCTCAAACCACACAAACCACTCTAGGCTTCATGACCAAAAAGAAATAAGACTCTACGTACTCCGTCTACTCAGTCACTATTCTGTTCCTCTGGTCATTCTACTAATACATATTTAACGATAACTCAATGCATCTGTCATAACGCAGACGACAACATTCACTGACTTCACATTTTATGATTATTATCAATTGCAGTACAGCAACGAATATCACCCGTCAATGCAGTTATCATTTCACGACTTGCCTATTATCATCCTATGAACAGGAACTACTCATTTAAATTCAAATTCACTCATCGCTAATCGATGCTACCTATTCTACTGCGGCTCAACAGAACATATATTTAACATATTTCACTATTCTGTCAGCACCACAGACCAATTTCTGTCATATTATACTTTACTTATTTTCACGATTTGTTTCGCAGTCGTACCCACAAACAATTTATTACTGTTTTCACGGTATTTTGAATCGCTCATACGAACTTGTTATTTTATCGTTCAGACAGTCACAGCATTATTAGATGTTAATTTTTGTACGCTCATCAAATTGCTCATATTCGCATGTTAACGTTCCCATTTTTGTCCGCGCCTTTTCTATATTCATGTATTCTTTTACATAAATATGACATTTTCATATAATACACTCACCGCTCATGTGACACTACTGTACTTTATCGAGTGTTGTACAATTTTTTTCGCTACTTATTGCTAACGTTAGCTTCATATTACTTCACTGTTATTTTCGAAAACAGACATTTTTTAAATGTGCTATTTTCTACAAGGGGGCTATGTAGTGTCAGTTATTATGGCAAGCCCATCTACCTTATTCTAACTTGTGGACATCCTATTTAATTCATTTTACTTGAGCCATATTTTGACCTTGTCAATTATTCGCTTGTCAGTCCTGATTGCTTTTATATGAGCGTATACGTGTGTGCCCTTCTTATCGCATTAATCACATGTCTGTAGCTTTATTCTGTCTGCCTATAAATATGGAGTAACTCTTGACTAAAATGGAGTTGGCTTCCCAGCCATCCTCCCTGTGCGTCATTTTACGCTGTTCTGTTACATTCACTTTACATACGAAATATATGTATTCAAAGGCTATTCTCGTTATTTGACTTATCTAGATTCCGTTATTGACTAACGTGATTTAAGTCGACGATTATATACGAGAATAGGCGATAGCAAACACTCATATACTCTGAATGGAGTCAGATACCGGGCCTATACAACACCACAATGATATGTACATTTCAGATAATTTCATGATGATGAATATCCGTTTTTCCACATTGCCCCTCGGAATAATATGTATGTACGGTGTATGCTACTTACGCTAACAGATATAAGTAGTATGTAGCACCAATCCTAAGTGCTTGGCAGCATAAGATCGAGATAAAGAGAGCAGGAAAGAAATCGGAGAGCAATCAAAACAACAACATAATTGAACGAAAAATGGAGTATGCAAATGATAACCCAAATAATCTGTGAAAATTATGTATTTAATGTAGGATTTTCATATTTTACTAAGACATTGTGTGGTTTTGCATTTAATAATAAATTTATATTCCCTACCGAGTTTTCGTTTACTACATACATAGTGAAAAAAATAACCTCTCGGGTTAAGTAACAGCCTAATTCCTACTATCGTAAACTTCACAATTACTTATGACAAATAATAACAAATTTATGACATCATATAACCTACTTCTTCTGGTTGTTCATTCAATAAACCAACTAATTGTTCAATTGTTCCAAGTTTTTGAAATTGTTTTACATTTTCTTTCGAAATTGCACATTTCCAAATAGCACCAGTGACAGCTGCTAATAATTCTTTATTAGATTGTTTACTTAATAATGCTACTAATGGTTCTAAACCATTATATGTACGAACTAGATCACGTGTTTCAGGCTCTTCTGCACACTTTATAAGACAAATAAATAAGTTTTAAATTATTAAGAAATATTTATTAAATTTTAATTCCATAGAAAAAAATATTTAGAATTTATATGGTGCTGGGTAATTGTAACATTTAAACTACCGTGTGTGTGGAAGCTACAGTCTTGTCATAAATGCAACAAGTGAGAATAAAAGTGTCTTAAACTGAAAATAAGAAACATTTTTCGGTGTCCCTGAGCTACCATATTACTGTAATTGATGTCACTTATCAAGGATTTCGTTCTCTATAAATTTTAATAAATAAAGCAGTTATATTTGTGTCTCATTGTCTTTTAAAGTGGTCTAGGTTTTCTAAATTCATTCACAAGGCTTAAAATCAATCACTTCAAGTGAAATATGTTATTCAGTAATTAAACAGATAGAAGACTTCCATAGCTGTAAACGTCCTATCAAAATGAATCTTTTCTCAATAGCAATGAATTCTAGGTGGCCTGTTTGAATATCTGGGCTACCTGTTCTTACCACCTGGATGTTTTAACAAGTTATTTGTTTTCTTGTTTGTTTCAACACATCATTATTCCCATTAGTCGTATAACCTATTCAGGAGCATTTGTGACAAATTCACGACAATTCGTTGTATAAGTTACAGAAGTGCTCAATCAGAGACATCGTGGTTGCTGATAATATACATTGAAAAGAATATACATTATTCAAATGTCGATTCTTGGATTGTTAACATCTAACTGGCGACCACTCAATATTTATCATCAGGATCGATGAAGAAATAAGAAACGGAAAGTTTTTGAAATACTTTGTTCTGAGAATTCTATTTTGTATCAAAAATATTATATTGAACAAAGCCAATAATAATAATAATGAAATATGTTAATTAAATGTTGTTCATCGTATAGGGAATTAATCCATCGTATAACTTTCTGTTTAGAATTTACTGCATTGTGCAAGTTTGACCCACATAATCAGCTTAAAACATTCACTTTAAAAAAATATGATAGGAACAAGCAAACGACTACTAGTGATACACAATACAAACTAATCCAGATGTTTAAATACCTACATGTTTTAGTTAGTGTTATTACATAACCAAATCACATTTTAATAAAGTTAATATACTTCTCATATCCAAAATGAGTAGAAAAATTAAATTTTTCAATTTTCGAATGTTTTATGTCCCAGTGTAAGTCACTTTAATTGTTCTATTTATCAAGATATTACAAACCTATTACTCTCATTAATAACAATCTACCCAATCAGTATCAGAAGAGGTTTTATGTGGATATTATAGTAATTTAAATAGTTGAGATCATGAGTCAATTGAAACTAGACTGCAATGGAAATCCTGGAAGCACTGAATGGTTGTTTCGTTCTATTATTGGAGTCTTCAGTGGTCTAGTGGTTAAGCGTTCGTGCGCGAAACCGATAGGTCCTGAGACCAAATTTCGCGAGGCGAGATCGTAAATACGCACTGCTGAGGAGTCCCATAATGGGACGAAACGGCCGTTCAGTACTCTCAGGCTTTCTATGGTGGTTTAGCTTCAATCGACTCATGATCCCAACTATTGAAATTATCTTAAATTATCAAGTAAAACCTTAGTAATGACCCCCCCATAAAAATCACATTTTCTTTATACAGCTTTCAGTTCAAGATTGTGGTAAATCTTATCGTTTATTGAATTTACTAATTATAAAAATAATAAACTTACTTTAAATATTGTAGAAGCACAATGCATTTGAAGTTCATCATTGTCACGTTTTAAATTTTTTACTAAATCACCAATCATACCTTCTGTACGAATAGCAATACGATAACTTTCCTATTTAAAGAAAACAAATATTTTTTTTCTGTGATGCAATGAGAAGATGAAGATTATCAGAATTATGTGACATATTTCCGCTTTACATTTTGAACAATCTGATCACACATAAACTTGTTAAGACATTTGTATAAAAAAGGTCAACTAGACAGATTAAAGATAAGCCGTAACAAAGAAAATAAAATTATGATAAAGTACACAAAAACAATGTGATTACCACACTGGATAATAAATCAGTATTATCAGGGTAGGTTAAGTGTACGGACAAATTGTATTTGAACGCACATAGCGGGTTTCAATTTCCATATAGCCAAGGCTTCAATAAACTTTAGTATACATCCTTGAAGGCTTTTGTATAAAACTACAAATGCTGACATGATGTCAACCTTATGACCAGTCTGAATCAAATGTTTTTCAATGGAGGATGATATTTGTCTATCCTGTGATCTTATTTGGCCACTGGAATCCATTTGTTTCTGCAGCCATTTTGTTATGTGTTCACCCACCCTTAGTTGGAAATCACGATTGCTCCTCCCTATGTACGTGTTTCCGCACATACAAGTAAATTGATAGACACAATGGGATGTGACACAGTCGCTTTCGTGCTGTTTGGGCTTTTGGTGAAACATAGACCTTGTCTTTTGGGTAATGACAGGTTGGGCTGCGTAAAATGTCCGGTTGGTAGCTAATTTAAGTCTCCGTCTCAGCATGAGACTATATGTGTCGCCTCTAAATGGTAACGTAATGAAAATTCGCTTTTTGGGTGCCAGAAGTGTCGTAGGTCTAGTCGTATTGCAACTCTTCCAGCAGTTTATGAATTTCAATGAATAACCATTATTCATTAACGTATCGGTCAAGGGCTTCGTCTCTACTTCACTAGTGTCACTAGTACAAATACGATTAATTTTGTTGAATAAGCTCTTAATTAATCCACGTTTGTAATGAATTGGATAGTGACTGCAGAAATTAAGATATTGCACTGTCCATGTTGGCTTTCTATATATAGAACGTTGGATGAAACCATTATCTCTCCTACTAATCAGCATGTCTAGAAATGAAGTAAAATATTTTATTATCGTGTATGTATATTTGTTGTCAGTCATGAATGTGGTAAGAACGAAAAAAACAACACAATAACTTGTACAGTTTAGAAGAATCAAATACAAAGTAGTAATGTAGTGAACGAAAACACAAATGAGCACAAATGAATGTATATGAATACGAAATTACAGAATCTCTTAGAAAAATCTTAGAACTATACAGCAAATACTTCAATTGCAAATTTTCAATCGCTCGAAAAGAGCTCTGACCTCGGCTGTAACATCTTTGTATTAAGCAGCCCAGTAATATCAGTAGTTCTCAGACACCAAAATATGACTGAATTATGAGTACATGAGTCTATAATTGATTACTGATGTACATCAATTCGTTATTTGTTTCAGATTAGATAATATAATGTTTCAAACAAGCTCAGTTCTGATCAACTACCCAAGAAGACTAGTTAAGATTACAACTGATGACTCAAATTACAGATATAAGACACAGGTAGGAATTATATTTCATCGTCTATACATTTTCAAATTGTCAATGTGTTGAAGACATGAAATTTCAGCAGTAAATAACTTACTTCAGAAGCACATTCTTGTAATGTTCCAACAACTGGAATAAGCATATTTTCATGTGGAGATTTTAATAGACGCACTAATAATGGTATGACACCTGCACGTTTCATAGCTAATTTATTCTTTCTAGATTTACTGCATGACCATAAAGCTAATGCACCACATCGTGCTACTTCAATATCTCTTTCAACTTCACTAGTCATTGGTACACTATTTAAGCTTGGACAGTCGAGTAAGGCAACCTAAAAATAAGCAAAATTATGCATGGAAGTCAATAACTAATGAGACATTATGTGAGTGATATCGGATACAATTGTGATTTTATTTAAAGTGCATTCAGTCTATGAGACTAATTGTACAAGCAAAGCTATATAACTGAACATGAAAATACTAAAAGGTATATGAACAAAGATGGATGATGGTTAGCAGTAGAATCCAGGATGCGCGTTTCATCCTATTTAGGACTCGTCAGCTGGATGTACCTGCATCCCAAAGCTGATGTTCACTTTGGGAATTAAGCTCAAACAAAAGGAAACGCGCGCCTTGGCTCCCACTGCTAGCCATCACTCATACTAGCTTATAAAGCCTATGATTTAAGGCAATATCAAAGCAGTTCTCTTAGGATGCACATATGTCAACAAGAGACTGATCAACTGCAGTCCTAAACAACAATGGGAAGATACATATAAACAAGACCAAGTGAATTTATCAATCGTAAGATTCGATATTGCCTTAAGTCACAAGCTTTTTTAAGCAAAGATGGATAGTGGCTAGTAGTGGAATCCATGATGCACGTTTCATCCTATTTGGGTTCGGGTCCCGAAGTAAACATCAACTCTGGGATGCAGGTACATCCAGCTGACGACTTTCAAATAGAAATAAACATGCGTCCTGGATTCCATTGCTGGTTACAATCCATCTTTGCATTTAAATCTTACAATTGGTCTATATTCATATACAATGATCACTTTTTAACATTTGATACCATTTCAAAAATTTATACGACTAATTTATTCATTATATCTTGGATAATTATTGGTAACAGTTTTACTATTTCATATACCCGAATTCTTTGTCAGTCAATTAGTTAGCTACAACGTAGGACCAGGCACATATATGCATCGGTCCAAGTTACCATACCGCATTAGCATAGCAAGATGAACACCGGATTCATAGAAGTAGTGAATTCAGTGGTGATAATATATAAAAGAAAGACTGCATATAAGAATATAGTACAGGAAGAAAGAATTATTTCTTAGAAAGATATGAAGCGATTTTAATCTCATAGTTTAAGGGAACACAGAGAGTAAATACACCTACACCATTATGATCGAATCTCAGCCATGTCACCAAGAGTCTCCAACGATTGGTTACGATAGTCACGCGAACACCAACCATATAGTCTTCATCTACCAACATGGCTCACACTACAAGTTAGTGATTTCAAGCACTGATGCCACGTTTTGGTTTGGCCACCAATCAATTTCTTCCAGCTGTTTCCAACACCAGTCACCATTGCGCGTCGTGGTAATCGGTGTTCAGGTATACGTAACACGTGACCCAACCATCTCAATCTATGAAGATTCACAACCTCATCAATTGATTTACCATCGTTCCCTAATACCCTGTGTCTAATCTCACTATTACTTACTCGGTAATCCCAGCAGATGCGAGCAGTGCTTCTAAGGCAAGTGTGGTCAAATACTAGTAGCTTACGAGTATCTTCAACTAAAGTACAATGAGTAATCAACTGATAACTTATATAATTCTATGAAGAAAAACCAATCCATTAATTCATCGATATAAACTTACCAAATATTTTATACCACCATATTGTCTAACTGTACGTCTTGCTCGATGACAATTAGCCACATTTGCTATTACTTCAGCACATAAACATTTCAAATCACGATTTAAACTGCGTAACAAGTTGACAAGTGGTTGTAAACCACCAATATCAGTAACAGATTTACGTATTTGTGGATTTTTAGTAATTTCTTTTAAAATTTTCAATGAACCAAGCTGAATTTAAATAAAATATAAACTAATAATATAAATTTAATGGATAGTTATGATTAATAAAATTTTGTCTTAGTTTCATTGCATAACATTCAGATGATAGGTACCATTATCAATATTTGACTTGATAATTTCGAATAAATTGATCATGGAGTAGTTTGTTATAAATAAATTAATATATTTGTAATATCCCAATGAGTAGAAAAATCAGATTTTTTGGCGTTTCGTGACTTAGCGTAAGCTGCTTCTTCAGAGAATAATATTCTATTTGTTCCGTTTGTACTAATTAAACTTAGATTAATTTCGATTTGGTTATTTATTTATTCCATGAAGAAGTGGCTTACATTGAGTCACGAAACGTCAGAAAATCTAATTTTTCTACTCATTGGGATATCACAAATACATTATTTATTTATTCAGATAGTTTGCATAAGACGAAAATCGGTTGAATATCAGTTTGAGATAACATATTGGTAGATATGTTATCAATCAGAATGAAATATAAAATAGAACATTGTTTTAGTGTTTCATTCTCTGAATTCTAAGAAGGAAAAGCTTAAGACTATAGCAACTATCCGATAATCAATTTCGATTATGATTAGTTTTGATTAAGTCCTTTTACTAACTTACTTAGCAGACAATTTTATTAGAACAGTAACAATTCGTCTATTTGTTTGTTCTGTTGTGATCACTAGATCATATGACAGACTCTAACTAAAACGGTGATCCCTTAAATATCAATCGATGATTCATTTTGTTCCCCATGTATATATGTACTCAAACCCTGTTATTAGTCCTTGCTTTGCCTTGCTACGCCATTATGTGAATTGACTATAAATTTGCCTCTGTTATTGCTCACATATACTTATTCGCATCTCTGCTTCAAATTTGCTCGATGTGTTTATAGGATTATAATCTGCGCTATCGGCTAATCAACTGTAGTTGCCTCTTCTCATTGTCTTCTGATTTCAAACACCGTTGAGATTTATATTATAACGGTTATCGAGAGGTGATCGGTTAGTGAAGCAAAACCACTAGAAGATAACTCAATTTCAATCAGAAGTAACTAAATTCAAAGAGTAAATTCATTAAAAACCTTCATTTCAGAAACATTTATTGTTGAATTAGTATAATGTTTATGTATAATTTCACATAGCCATAGAACATTTATATGAATATTGTGAACTGTGACAGCTAATAATCTCGTTCACTTTACTTGTTGAATAGGGATTTGATAAAATATATATATTGATGATTAAAACTTCAGCCTAATATTAAATGGTGAGGTCTCATTAATCGTTCAACGATTTTAATTCCTTATTTTTTAATGAAATTGGTCAGTGTCATCAACGGTACAATTTTGTTTAAAGATAATATAAAAATAGTTCACTTGGATTTTGTTATTACTTTATTATTCATTTCAAGTCGAAGAAAACTATAGATGAGTTCAACTTCATTTATAATTGATATTTGATCATATCATATAGTTACCATGACTAGCCTTACTACTAATAGTCGTTCACTTTCAAGTGTTTTTGTACTTGTAACATATGAAACTTTGAAGATGATGTATGTTTAAACCACAGAATGATATCCGCTGGAGAACTCTATAAATATCATGAATCTCTATATATTAGGATTTTAAAACTAGTGCAAAACAACTACTTTTTGTTCACTGGTTTTCAATCATGCTCCAAATGATATCAATCCTAGGCAAAAAAAATTCACATATCAAAAACTTAGAAATTCAAGTTAAAAATAGCACCAAATTATGGATAAAAGACATAGATTATTATCTCGTGAATATATAATCCAGACAAACCCTAATTCTAGTTCTATACATATAGGACTTCATAGACAAACTGTAATTAGAATACGAGAGAATTTGATACCCTTAAAACAATGATATTTTTATGGGGTAATCTATATTCTGAACACCCGTTTATTGTTTTACCAATAGAAATCTTACTTTTGAAGTATTTATAATGTAGCGGCAGTGACCACTCATTCTAAAATTCATATAATGAACATTAACCTCTGGCTAAGTTAATAACTCTACTTCATGTAGTCTAATTTTACTTGTATACAAGAATCGGTTAGCTATACAGTTTCGATGTATCGTACGACCTTGTTAAGTATAATCAATTCGTTTCAGTAAAAATTTATTTCCTTTTTGTTCATTTATAAAGTAACTTGATTACATAATTGTTATATGACGGAAAGCCTAATTTAATAAAATGTAAAACTAAATAAGATGACCAAACGTAGAATTTAGTCACTTAATTGAATAATGACTTAATTAGGTATCAAATAAATAGTAATCCATCGAATTCCATGAATTTATTAAGAACTTATTACCTTATTCACCTTTTTTCACTTCATAAAAGAAAGTACTATTGGATAATAATCTATTATTTGTTATAGAAAGAAAACAACTTACTTTACAACGGACTTCATCCGTTTCAAGTAAATTAATAAGTACTTCAATTCCTCCAACATCACGAACAGCAAGTTGACAAATTTCAGTTTTTAAAGGCATATCTTTCAAAGCACATAAGGATATGATAGTTGATGTTTGATTTCCACCCTTGTATAGTATGTACAAAAAGATATATTAAAAAGTAAGCATTACGCCATTATAATCAGGCTTTTTAAAGTTCATCTATAGAAAGTGGTAAAGTTTTATTTCGTGAAAAAAAAGGAAATTTTTTCAGTAGGAAACTTGATGTCAACATTTCTCACTTGTTTAAACTCGTCAAGCATACTGTCTAATTGTAAGCAATGATGGATGGTGGCTAGCAGTGAAATCCAGGACGCGTGTTTCGTCCTATTTGGGACTGACTGATCAATTGCAGTCTTAAACCTCAATGGGAAGATACAAGCCAAACAATACCAAGTGAATACTGTCTAATTGTTTTTAAGCCGACTGAAACGTGTGTAATAGTTACGAGAATGTATTGCCCATCTAACAAAGTAGTTAATCATCTCGTAATTGTGAGAAAAAAACATACATTAAGTGTTAATTGGTTACATATTCAAAATATATACATATCTGAAGTATATTGAACATTTACGTTACTTCTATACTATTATTTATGTTAAGTTGGTGGATTAAATCTTGATAAATTTGACAGTGATTTTTTTAGGTCAATAATTACATCAATGACGTTTAGAGCTCCTTTATACCGTTATAGAACTTCTCATAAATTTTAGTGCATGATCCCTAAAATTAAATTTCGGATATTTGGTAATCTGTTTCATCATTTAATATCATAGTACATTTAATCAAACTTTGAAGATATTACAAAATAAGGCCAAATAATAGGTCAATATGTACTCTATTAGTATTCATCGTTCATTCTTCAAAACTATTGACATGAAATTTATATGGAATTCAATAAATATTTTGTATAAAGTAGCGGATATCAGTTAAAATGAAATCCCTATTCATGGTCATCCAGTATTCTCGAACTGGCTAAATCTCTTTTATGTATATAAATTATAACAAATTACAGATGAACGAGACTATTTTCCATTCTCAGGTAAGCTACCACATAGACAAAGATGTTTTCGCTAGATTTTAAAAAAAATAATAGTATCACGAACCTTTAGATATTTAATTATCTTGCCAATTTGCCAATATTCAGATGGTAAGTCAGCGTTTGCATCTTGTCTACGCTCTGGGATATCATCTTCCAATTCAGTTTCACTTTCTGAGCTTGATTCACTAAAACTGTCACCATGTCTAGAAGAATTGCGTCTATTCAAATAAGCAGAAAATAAATAGAAGCTAGAATACAATAAAATAATAGACCAAACAATTTACAATTTATACATAATGTAATTTATCATTATCAAAGTAGATTAGGCTGCAATAACCAGAAGGAACACTAAAATTTCAATGAAAAAAACTTTCAGGCAAGTAGACTATGTAACTATTTACTTTTATGTAGAAACGGACTTAGTGAATAAACCGCCCAACAATTTTTCAAATTCATCTTAAGACTTTACTGACATTGTAGAAAATGCATTAACTAGGAATTTTGTGTCACACATAGTACTTGCAATGATGTAAGTAGTAAAATTATGCAACCAACAAACTGGTCTCAGTTTCAATTTTTCACATCTGAATATTGATTACTGGTTTTATGAAGACAATTTAATATAACTGTAGTATTATCGCTAAGATTAATCTCATTATCATTTGGTCTACAATTGTCATCTGAATAAACAGTATGAAACTTTCTGTTAATTGGTTAACTCATACCACTTTGTACATTACTTATAACTTGACAAAACAACTAATTTAACCTGTAAGCACATAGATATATTCCTTACCTTCTGCTACCTATATTTATCCTGGTTATAAATCTGGAAAATCAACTGATGAAGTAGTGAAACTTCATCAGTTGAGATGGCTGGGACATGTGTGACGAATGACCAAGCACTGACTGCCCCATCAAGCGATGTTTTGTGGTGTAGGAGTAGGTTAGAGGAAAGCTAAGGGCGGCCAGACCAAAACGTGACACAATTCCATGAATTCACTGACAAGTGGACTGAACTATGTTGGTAGGTGTAAACTACCTGGTTGGGATCCGAATGACAATAGAAACCGATGGTTAGAGACCTTGAATGACATGGCTCAAAATCGTTTGCAACGGTGCAGGTGCATCCACTCTTTGTATCCTCCCAAATTCAATCAAATAAAAAGAATATGTTGAGGTTAATTCCTCTATATCTAACTCCAGATTAGAAGGCTACATGTTCGGATCACACCTGGCTCACCAACCTTATATATATATATATATATATATATATATATATATATATATATATATATATATATAGTTGAAAAACTCTGACCACATTAACTAAATTTAATTTCTACAAAATGAGATGTAGGTAAGCAACTATTTATTTATTAATGAGGTTTAGTACATTTCAAGACCGAAGATACACGATGAAGGCCTACACTCTTAATTTCTTTCTAATACTTGTTTTTTTGGCTTGACATTTCTGGGCCTAATTTATCATACGTAAATTTAAATACTTTTATATGATACCTTATTATCATTTAGCAATTTACAGTCAACATGGACTCAACTACCTTATTTCTGTCAACATTCCAAAACAGTTTATACTGAGTTACTTCTTTTATATGAGTTTTGTTGATAAGCTTTAATAGTATGTATTAATATCAAATGGTACAAACACGGTATGTATGCAATTTCGTATAAAATGACGAAATGCGGACATGTCAATGAAATAATAGTTAACTACTGAAAACATTTCAGTAGATACGTAATTAAGAGTAAATATAGTTATCTTTTCTCATCAACAAAAGATTTTACTTTGCCTATCGTGAAAAATTCGTAATTTAGCAAATACTAAGGCCTGTGCAACACAAATTTGCTGGGAGATGTTACCTTGAACTCACTTATGGCAGTGGTTTTGTCTATATACTTAGGGTCCCATTAACTATTCATCAGGTCAAACACTTCTTTCCGTATACTATCATTTAAGTTCTTACTTTGTCATCAATTTGCTTAGTAATAAATGTTTTTACAAAAATATATGTGGAACGATCAGTAACCTATCAAAATTCTCTGTTAGTAAGGGAATTATTAATATTATTGATGGCTATGAGCTAAATCATTAAACGAAAAATAAATAATCTGAAAATATAAACTCTTACTTGATTTTTTCCGATTCCACACCCCTAAAAGTTCCAGAAGGTGGAAAAAGAAGTTTTATAAAACATCATAAATAAACGAAGCAACTAGATAAAGAAAATGGTTGTTAACAAAAATTCCATTTGTCAAAACTGATTGAGCAATTAAGATATTTAAAATTCATTGAAAACAATGAGTCCTCGTTTCTACAAATGGATAAATTTTGGTCGTGATTAAACATAATCACTACCGAAAACCGGCAACAAAATTTTAGTACATAATCCCCAAATATTCCGATGCCACGTTGTTTGTTAGTTGTTCATTTACAGTTTTGTTGGCTCACATAAAGAAATAAGAATATTTTCTCAAAACGTAAATCAAGATATCTTCGGAAGGAAACTTTCGGGGATCAATGTATTAATGTATATGGTACATACAAGTTTTGTTTCGTGGTAATTATCATCAGAGCAGAATCCTTTACAAAAATACGAGTAATTAAGTGATGGCTGATTAAAGTCGGAGAAGCAGTGAATCGGTCATTGTAAATCGATAGAAATAATAGAATGCATAAAAAGGATAATTAAGAGGTGTTTAATCTAAATCACTTCTAATATTCTTCAATTATATTTAAAAAGTTACTTATACACTTGTTTCACAAACACTGTCGTGTTTGCCGCTATAAATCAACTCTTTAGTTAACTATCTCCGGTAGATAGAATTATATGTTACATTTAAATGACCTGCTGATAGGATGGTTTGATTTACAGATAATTAAGTGTATATAATTGATTTGGGTCTGACTTGAACAACATCATCCCTCCGGCATACGTTTGGAAGCCCATAGTCCAGACAAACTAATAAAGGTGGACAACATGTTTTTTTATCTATCTGTTCAGGTACACGAATATTAGGCGCATTGTTACTAGTAGCAGAATATTAAAATAACTGCGTAGACAAATCATTACGATGTGTTTAAAGTGGTCTTGCGAGGTACTGTGGAAAAAGTTATATCAAAGACAGCAAATACAACTATATCTAGATTTTTAAACAGATAAAATTTTCAAATAAGCATAAGTTTAATTTTCTTGTTTCATATACTTTTAGGTCGTACCTGCACTAAGGTCACATTCCAGTTATGAAAGCTAGTGTCACAACTGATCTCTAATTGATCTCATTTTTGAATAAGGATTGAGTAACATTTATTCTCAAAATAAATAATGTCTTCTACAAGAACAAGAACTGGTATCCGGAGTGACAGTTAGTATAAAGATTACCATTATCACCTGTTTTAAAGCAAGGTATTTTGTGACTATGAAAAACCAACAGTAAGCAGAGAAACCTGAAATGATGTTCGAAAATATTCAACAAGATTGGCGTAATTGTTCATAATTTCAATTATTTAGTTAAAACTAACTTATGATCAGGTGAAGATTAATTTTCAGACTCGCTTTTAAAGAAACTTATGGTGCAATAAACAATTAAAAGGCTCTCTTTCAATGAAAGAATGTTTATGCTAGACAAGTTTTATGTTGGACGTTCTCTTATTTCGTCAATTTGTTTTCCATGATAGCATTTTAAAAAGTTATATTTGGTACTGTCGATTGCTTAGACTAAACAGTTGTTAATATTGTGGAGATATGACTGACAAGCTTATTTTGTAAATAGTTTTTAATATTATTTGTATTTATTTTGTCAATCTTACACTGTATATATATTTATCATTATATGACAATGGTGAATCAGGTAAAGGGTGAACAAAGTCATTCGAACAAGAGTAATGTAATACGAAGTGAACGTGAAACAACCTAAACAGTTTTTAAGTGTGAGAGAAAGTATTTTTATTTTAACTCGCCACATTTCTTCAACAATACAACAGCAGTACTAAGGTTCTCCCCGCTGAATAAAGATGTTTTCAAATGCGTGAATATATGCTATAATTCTTAGTTTTTGAGAGGTTCTCCAGTTTCAATATACCATATCTGCTGAGGGATTTTGATGAGGGGTGTATTTGAAAAACATTCTCGGTAAAAATAAGCTAATGACCCAGTGAGCACATGGATTATACTTACATTTAATGATGAAGGCAACTTATAGCAAAAAGAAAACGTGAGTGTGATATTGTGACAATCTGATAACAGGATCTAAATGTTGATAAGGTAAACTTTTGAATGAGTTACATTAATTCACCATGATAACCCACGTGACCTAGAGAATAAATTTCAATTCTCAATTCAGTTTTCAGATTTTTGGCGAAGTAACCACCTCCATGGTTGACATTTCTATAACCCGGAAAAACCGAAAGAACTAAGTCACGATAACTAACCAACGAAATAAAGTGTGTTATTTAATCTGCGTTTACATCACTATATATTTATAGGGAATGAGTGTTTTAATTTTCAAATGAATGAATCACATGTTTTATTAGGTGATGAAGTTGCTCGGTTGAATGATGAAACTATGATATGTCATTAGTCTACAACCAAACCATCCAGCCGTCGGGTCACTGATCATCCTCAAGGTCAAGAACAACCAACGAACATTAGTTAATCTCACACCATGAAATGGCCTATGTGGTGGTGGTCTTGATCTCTTCCGTGTACCTACACTTGCTAACATATTTCTGTGCTAGCGTTATACGATATTCAAATCAGCCATAGTACTTTGATAAAGCGAAAGAGTAATGCACATTACGTGTTGACCGTGAGATGTGACTTCAAATTCCGAAGGTCCATTACACCATTCTTGTCCAACCCACAATTGTTCAAGAAAGACCATCTGTTTTAGTGATTTACAAGATTTACCATTGATATGCTACGGTAAATTAACTAGGTGACATCCAAGGTTAGATTGAAATTTCTTTGTCGTTGAAACTTTTCAGAATTCTTAAATCACTCGACCACATCTACAAATGAAATCCTTTGCAGATATCCCGCAGAACCCATGTTTTTCCAATCTTTCGCCAGAATAGGATGGTAAAAAAGACCAACGTCTACTAAAATCAGGAATGATTTTATGAAATTAATAAAATTGTACATGGGATTTACTAGGACAATTTTCGCTCGATGGAGATAAAACAAAACTTTAATTGAAATCGAATGAATGTAAAAGTTTTGCACATTAAGATGCTTCGAGTACTTGGAGCTTGGCAATGCCTTTACATATAGCACCAATATAATTGAACTGTGTCAACCCAGTCCAATCATGAGTGATTTGAAGGTGTATTTCGAAGTCTAATGATATGTCTGGGTGCGTCTTGTTTATGCTGGTTAACAGGTGCAAGAGATGCGTTGCGCGACATACTCGTATCTGGTACGGGTGCGTGACCAAGTGCCTCTGACTAGATTTGTTTACTGAAACTATTGTGAGATGGTAAATATTTGTAGCTCTGGTGTATGAATTTGATGGAGTTTCGTATTCTGACCTGGATGGTTAGGTCATGGAGCTTTAATCGTTATTCTGAAGGACATCATCACACAGAAGTTTACCCAAATTTTGTGGCGGTCACCATCAAATGTCGAAGGCTTACAGAATTATTTATTTTAGATATTTTTTACCGCTACAGTTCCTCCCCCCTAGTCAGGCAGTGATAAATCCAATTTGTGGCCAGCCAGCAAGTTAAACCCGATGAAGTTGTCGTTAGTGAACAATATTTTGATTACTTGTTGTGTTCAACAGCATTTGGTTATTCTTTTTTATTAAATGAGGGGCCATGTGGTACACGTAGTAATAAAAAAACTCAATGAAAGAACAGTACTAGGGTCACGACAATATGAAGCACCAAAAATGTACAGGTGTGCTTGTTAATAACAGGACACAATCATCCAAACTGCAAGGAAAATAAAGATATTGAACGCTCAGTAATCTAATGAGTTGTCTCGTTTACCGACTACAGAGAGTTGCAAAAGTGTTACTTGTGCTTGGTTAAACGCTGTTGTCCATTTTTTGAACCACATATACAATGGTCAATAGTAAGAAACAGGTGACTTCTATGTCCTTTATTTTCTGACGTTTATCTCTATATTAAACTTGGTCAAACACCAAAACTTAGGGTTATAAATCTCACGCGTCTGATATTTTTAAGTGTTCGTGAATTTCGACTCCGTACGTTGAGATATATAGCCGCCTTTGGCGTGTGAAAAAGTTCAGAAATCTGTGTATTGGATGTCTTTTTTCCGTTCTTATCAGTTCTATGATTTTAATGCACTTGTGAAAAGACAATAACGCAGATGAGCCAAATAGGACATAACAGGGACCGATGGTGGTACATAGTATATTAGTTAATCAGAAGTACTGAGAAATCTGGGTCTTCCTTACAACGATCAACAATAGTTTTATACATGTAAGTCGATCAGAGTCTTCTTCGCTTATCATCACTGAACCTCAAACATATGTAAATGTCACTCTTTTTAAGTGCATCGGAGAAACTTTTAACGCCCATATAAGGCCAGTCCATAGATTATACATTCATATAATGATCTATATATAGAATGTCAACGTAAATATACATCGACACTGCAGAATGAAACAATTCTAGTTTCAAAGTATCTAATATCTTTTAGGCTGAATAAATACAAAGAACAAGATTATTAGAGGGAAAAGACATTTCTCTGAAGGCTTAGCTCGATGGACGTGAGATTTTTGAACTATTTATCTGATATATGAAAAGTGCTTCTCATCCAGTTTTGTCCAGATTTAGTATTGACACTTGTCTTTCGGCTGTCAGCTAGTAGTGTCAACTAAAACCAACAAGGTTAGCATCAGTCTCAGACAATGGTCGTAAAACCGTTTGTTTCGGGACTTTTTTACAATTACATACGTAACTAGCAGTTATTCACTGTTAATTATAAGCAGTATAAGTAGCTCAACTCCCAATGAATTCACAAGCAACAATATATTTGAACTGATATACCTATGGAAAGTCTGCATTTGCCGTTGCGGTTATATCCTGCGTTCAAAAATGCTACAGATATTTAGAAGGAGTTTGAAGATGTATTTGCGAAGTTATTGATATATCGAGAAACATTTGATCTAAACTATGTAGTATGAAGGCATAGCACGAAGTTTATACGCGTGGTATGTTGCAGATGCGTGACCGAAAAACTTTAAGTAGGATGTGTCTAGTAAGTCTACTGTGATCGGCACTAATGTAGACTTACTTGTTAACATACCTAGGTTCCTGCTTGGAGGATTTGGTGATCTCCTGCTACTAGACAGAGGCCTGTTAAGCGAAAGCTTCTTCTGTTCCGTCCACAACTATTTGAACCATTTATGAAAATGTTTATTCTGGTGACTTATTTGATGCTACACACTCAAAACACATGTGATGTAATTCTAAGTGTTCTTTAGTGCTTAAAATACAAATAATTTAAAACGATTGAAAGGGCCGTTAGAAGCGTTTTTGCTACGTGTTGTACTTTAAGACTCAAACTAGAGAGATGTGGATTACGAATATTTGACCTTGAAGGTCAAGGCGCCATTATTAGGTTCACAGAATGACTCGGGGTTCCCCTCATCGATCACACAAAAAACATCGTCACAAGAATCGTGATAGGTCCCGTTCTCCCCTGGACCAGATTACTGATAGAATTGCTAACAGGCGAGATGATCAATCACCTAATGATAGTAAGTAAACTTGTATATCCTATTACAACTTATGCTTAGCTGGAGGCACTGGTGTTGATATTTCTCTCTCAGTTGCGGAAACAAAGTAAATATAGGGTAAACTAACATACTTTTCTAGTGCTTTGCGAGCTAAATTGGGTCTTGCTCCTCTGGATGCTGATGATACTTCAAAATCAGAACGAGCAGTAGATAACCAAGCCGATTGCTACGTCCATGCACCAGCTAAAGATATCAGAAAAATAAGGGAATCAGAAGCAATCAAAGAAAAGCTAAATGTTTTAAAAGAGAAAAGGTCACTGTTAGATAAAATTGGGCAGGAAAAACTGTCCATGCCTTCTGCAAGTGAATCGGATGTTCAATCATGGGTTGAGAAAATGCGTGAGAAAGAACGAATTCAGAAACAAGCCGAAGAAAGAGTAAGTTCTATGCAGGCTTTGCTGATATCGATTGCTTTTTTAGGCAAAGCTTTTGTCTGAGATTGACGATCAGTTGGCTGTTTCTGAGTTTGTAGAGTCACAGTTGATTCAAAATGTTAAAAAGTACAAACCCAATGATTTGGCTGGTCTTCGCGTTGAACACAGCTCATCCCGTTTTGTTGACGGTCAATCAGTTATCTTGACGATTAAAGACTCAGGTTTGCTTGGAGATGTTTTAGTTCCTAAAGTCATTTACATGTAAATGTTTTTGTCTCACATGTATTTACTTGTATCATTTCGATTGGAGTTCAAATATCCGATGTATACATTAAGTTATTGTGATATTTAGTTGTCGGATTATCATCACTGCTTGTCGCATTTTGTCTTTTTACGGTTTAAATCTATATAATAACTTGTGAATCGGTCACTGTAGTAGTTTTCGTTTAACCTGTTCACTATCTTGTTTTAAGCTTGTTGCAGACTTCAGTTTAAGGATTAGTCTGTTTTTAGCCTATGAATATAGTCCTCACCTTGAGTTATTTGTTTTGTAATGCGCTTGACTTACTTAAGACCCATGCCATCTGTTTCGGTCCTAACAGTTTAGTGATGTCACTTTCTTTCACTCGAAGTGTAGCTCAAGCATAATTGTGTACTTATTGAGCAATCTACAAATACTCATTTGGAGATCTGCTATCTGGAAATCCTCCAATACTATTATTTCCAGCAGATTACTAAAAACTCAAACATTTTCAGGGAGACTATAATTTATGAACGGCCTTTGAGTGACGGTAAACAGACCTTGAAAATGTCCACTTACATACTACAACTGAATGAAGGTTATAAACTAGTGTAAGGAACCAAGATTAATATTTATGTTTAAAAGTTGGGGTTAGACTTTAGATTTTGGTTTTTTATTA